GCTCACTGCGACCTCCCACCTCCCGGGTTCAAGCAATTCTCCTGTCTCAGCCTCCCGAGTAGTTGGGATTACAGGTGCATGCCACAGTGCCTGGCTAATTTTTTTTGTTTTTGTATTTTTAGTAGAGATGGGGTTTCACCATGTTGGCTAGGCTGGTATCGAACTCCCGACCTCGTGATCCACCCACCTCAGGCTCCCAAAGTGCTGGGATTACAGGTGTGAGCCACTGCACCTGCCTGGAGTTTTATTATTACTCAAATCAACCTCCCAGAAAGTTTGGGTCTTTCAAGGATAGTTCGGCCCATGCCCAGGAATGACCAAGGGCAGTTTGGAAGTTAAAACCAAGATGAAGTTGGTTAGATCAGATCATTAATAAAGTGATCTAACTAACCGTTAGATTGCTGTTGACAATGTTTGCAAAGGCGGTTTCAATTCATTCCTGAAAGTTCACATTTTGGGAAAAGAAAATTTCCAAAATTTTGCAGAGGGATGGAGGGTTAGGTTCCTTAAAAGATGGACATGTGTATTTCCTTTCCCTCTTCAATCACTGTTGCTAGGTTCAAGTAACTCTAAGGTGCCTCCTCCCCACAGTGTGCTGGGGACAGGATCTGCAAATTATCACACCCAGTCTTATCACCAGTCATATGACCTGTAGGCCATTCTCTGACCTCTAAACTTTCCATATCCATTGTTTCATGGGCTCTCAGTATCACATTCTTTTTCTTAGTCTCTTATTCATTGTATGCCTGCCTCACTCCGTGCCCCATAAGGGCATAAATATTACTGATCTTTTTAGCCTGACCAACATGGGGAAACCCCATCTTTACTAAAAACACAAAAATTAGCCAGGTATAGTGGTACACGCCTGTAATCCCAGCTACTTGGTAGGCTGAGGCACGAGAATCACTTGAACCCAGAAGGCTGAGGTTGCAGTGAGCCAAGATCGCGCCATTGCATTCCAGGCCTGGGTGACCCAGCGAGACTCCATCTCAAAAAAAAAAAAAAAAAGAAAGAAAGAAGGAAAGAAAAAGAAAGAAAGAGACAGAAAGAAAGAAAGAGAAAGAAAGAGAGAAAGAAAGAAATTACTGGTCTTTAAAAATATGTTGACATTATTTCAGACATACAGAAAGGTTACAGGAAAAGTTCAAAGAATACTTGCATACTCTTCTCCAGTTGTTAATATTTTACATTTGCCACTTGTTTTATTTATTTTATTTTATGTATATACATTGTTATGGACTGAATTGTATGTTCTCCAAAATTCAGCGTTGACACTCTGACTTTGGAATGTGACTGTATTTGGAAATACGGCCTTTAAAACAATGACTAGGTTAAAATGGGGCTGTTAGGGTGGGCGCTAAATTAATCTTACTGGTTTCTTTATAAGAGGAGATTAAGACATTCAGGGAGGCCAGGCATGGTGGCTGATGCCTATAATCCCAGCACTTTGGGAGGCCAAGACGGGTGAATTCCTTGAGTCCAAGAGTTCAAGGCCAACCTGGGCAACATGGCGAAGCCCAGTCTCTACTAAAGATACAAAAAAGTAGACTGATGTGGTGGCGCGTGACTACAGTACCAGCTACTGGGGAGACCGAGGTGGGAGGATCACCTGAGTACAGGAGGTTGAGGCTGCAGTGAGCTGAAGGCGCACCATTGCACTCCAGCCTGGGAAACGAGAGTGAGACTATATCTCAAAACAACAACAAAAGGTAAAATAATAAAAGATATTCAGAGAGAGATGTCAGGGTTGCATGTGCACACAGAAAAGGCCGTAACACAGCAAGCATGCAGCCCTCTGCAAGACAAAGACTGCAAGCCTCAAGAGAAACTAATCCTGCCAACACCTTGACTTTTGCTTCTAGCCTCCAGAACTGTTAGAAAATACATTTCTTTCTTTTTTTTTTTTAGATCAAGTCTCACTGTTGCCCAGGTTAAAGTGAAGTGGTGCGATCTTGACTCACTGCTACGTCCGCCTCCTGGATTCTAGTAATTCTCCTGCCTCAGTCTCTCAAGATGCTGTGATTACAGGCATGTACCACCACGCCTGGCTAATTTTTGTATTTTTAGTAGAGACAGGGTTTCACCATGTTGGCCAGGCTGGTCTCGGAATCCTGATCTCAGGTGATCCGCCTGCCTCAGCCTCCCAAAGTGCTGGGATTACAGGTGTGAGCCAATGCACTCAGCCCATTTCTGTTGTTTAAACGACTCAGTCTGTGTTATTTTGTTATGGCAGCCCTAGCCAACTCATATATACAAAACTTTTTTTTTCTGAACTATTCAAAAGTAAGTTGCAGACATGGTCATTTAGTTCTAGAAGCAAGTGCAATATATTCTCTTACATTACCTCATGCGATTAGCTAACACTGATACAATGCTATTAGCTAGTTGCAGACTTTATTCATATTTTGCCAATTGTCCTATGATGTCATCTATAGCAAAAGAGAAAAAAAAAAGAAGAAAGAAAGAAAAAAAGAAAGACAAAAAGTTTTGGGTCCAGAATCCAGTCCAGAATCAAACAGCATTTAGCTATCATGTCTAGGTTCCTTTAATGGAGAACAGTTTCTCATTCTTTGTCTTTCATGGCCTTGGAGCTGTCAAGAGTACAA